CCCCCAACACACACACACGCACGCACACACCTTTCTTACCAAACAAGCGGTTCCGTTGAGGAGGAGCAGGATGAAGCCGCGGTTGGGACGCATCATTCCTGCGCGGAACACGCACAGCTCCCCCCTCCCCAGTGGAAAACAAATTAAATTAAATTAAAAATTAAAAATAAAAATCCCTAGAGGGCGGGTTTCCCGCTCCTTCAGGAAGAGACTCTTCCTGCGGCGCCGGGTTCCTTTCTGCTGACGCGCGGTCCCATATCCGAGGCAGGCTGGAGCGCTGCTCCCACCAACAAACAAACAAACAAACAAACAAACAAAACCTCTGGAGAGCCTCTGTTCTGTCTGTGCTTTCCCACCAATCCCGTGCTGGGCTCAAATTAGAGTGAGAAATCCATTGGCACGCGGCTCTTCTCATCCATTCAGAGACAAAGAATAAAATAAAAAAAATAAAGTTATCCCAGTTCAGGGTCGGAGGAGTTCACTGGGAGGCGCGCTGGTCTCCTCTGGAGGTGCAGGAGGGATGTGAGCTGCAGCGGTGCTGAGGCTGTTTCAACTCTTTCTTTTCTCCCTCTCTCCCTGCATGTGTGAGTGTTTGTGCATATCCCCCTCTTTATCCATCTCTCTCTCTCTCTCTCTCCCTCCTTGTTCCAGTCACTCAGCGCTTCTCTTCATCTCTTGTCTGTACTTTCACATTCACTCAAATAACGCAGCAAATCAGAAAACAACATGAATATCTAACCAGACAGCTGCTTCTTATTCACAATTTATTCTAAAGAATGTTCTCAATAATCCAGCTGTTCCAATAATCCAACACACAAGCGTGCGTTTGTCACACAGTGGGTTGTCACGTGGCACAGTAGAGCAGTGGTTGGTGTTGTTGCCTCGTAGCAAGAAGGTCACAAGTTTGTCTTTCTGTGTGGAGTTCGCATGTTTTCCTCGTCCACGTACTCTGACCCACTGACCCAAATGCAAGTTAGTGTTGACTCTAAACTGTCCCGAGTTGAACGTGTCTGTCTCGTTTGTCTCAGTGATGGACTTGCACCTACGTCACGATACCAAATGTTGCTGCGCGATTTATTGTCTCAGAAATTATTGCGATAAACGATAATATTGTTTGGAATTTGACAATAATTAGTAATTATTGTCAAATTTAAGAAGAAATGTTTGTAAATTTTTGTGCGCAGTACCTTTTTGACCACCAGATGGCAGTATAAGACTGTTTGAACCCAAGGATGGATAGTGAGGGAGCGAGCAGCGTGTCTAAGAAAAATGGGAGGGAGGCCCCTTGACATGACGTGGGCTGTCTCTCCTTTCTTTTCTTCTGGTTTTCAAAATGGCGGACGCTCGGTGCGGTTTGAGCTCTTTAGCATTTTTCACACAAAGCCTTTAATAAAAATCAGTAAACAAGTTCTCAGCTTCTTTTTGCAGAGAAAAACAACTTTTTACACGAAGGCACAGGTTTCAATCGTGAATTTTGGAGCTTCGACAAAACAGTTTTTTCCCAGAGGTCGGCTTGTTAGCTTAGCTCGTAGCTTAGCTTCTCAGCTTAGCTGCTTTTAACGATCCAAAAACGTGATTTTGGATCGTTAAATGATTTTAAAGAGAAAGGGAGGGGTCAGTGAAGAGCACCGGAGTTGAGCCTTTTATCAGCCAGTGTCTTCAGACACAAAGAAACGATAAAGTCGATAAATGAAAATGAGGTCGATAATTTTCATTTGTCATGCGATTAATTGATTTATTGTTTATCACGACAGGACTAGTTGCACCTTGTCCAGGGTGCCCCCTGCTTTTCACACAGTGAGGATCCTGCAAACCGGAAAGGAAGAAGTGGGCAAATGGATGATTTGTTTTCAAAATGTGTTTATTTCATTTAAAAAAATCTCTTATTTGCAGTTTCAAGGATTGTGTCCCTTCATCCGTGTAAGGATGGGACTGTTTGTCCTCGTTTCAGAGCAGAACATCGATCCGGAGGAGTATTGATGAACACGGTGAGGCCAGATGAACTGCTGACCGTCACCTCGGTGAGGTCTGATTAATAAAGACCTTCTTCAATAACGCACACTTCATTAGAGAGAGGTTAATGAACTGAAATGCAAGATATCGCCGTGCAGGTCACCTGGCTCCCAACGGCCACATTTCTGCTTAATTAGACTCATGGAGGAGTTTTCGTAGTCTCTCCTCGCTCGTCTTGTTGCAGCTCGCACCCAGGCAGGTCCTGGGCTCAACTCGTTTAAACGACGTGTTTGTGCACCTGTTAGTTCAGAGTTATCAGTGCCGGGTTAACTGACCTCAGATCAGGGGTTAATTAGCTCCTCACACTCCAACATCTGACCTTTAAAGGTGAAGGGTCACAAATGTGAAGCAGCTCGTGTCAATCCAGAGCAGAAAGTTCAGGAAACGGAAGTTTGTTCCACTTTATACAGAAAAACGTGCACATGCACTGCTCGTGCAGGAGACGCTGATGAAAGACGATGAATCTCGTCCTCTGCTTCTTCTTTGTGCCAAATGCTAGACGTGCCTCTGTATAAGTCAGACTGTCCTGCTCAGTCACAGCTGAAGAGGAGCTCATAAAGGGAAATCCATTCCCAGATCCCCAATCTGAAAAAAACCAGCCACCACAATAAAAGTCCTTCTTAAAGCAGAGCACGTTCATTTACGCACACACTTTCACTCCTGCACATAATCATTGGACTATCACTCAGTCCGTGGACTCTCTGGGGGGAAAGTCAGACAAGCGGCTGCCATTTTTTGAACTCTTTTTGAAGAATAAAGTGGCGTTGATGCTAAGATCATTTGACTCGTCTTAATGTTGTTTCACACGCGAGCGTGACGAATAGCAAATGTTTGTTTGTGTATTTCCTTTTTATTCGGCTCTCCTGCCAAAGCACAACAATTGTGCTCAATCATTGCATTGCTTGACACTAATCCTGTTTCACAGAGTAATTCAGTTTGAATGTGGAGCTGCAGGGGACAGCAGCAGCTTTGGAAGCTGATGCAGCTGCATGCTTCATCCATGAGTTTTAGCTGCCCTCTAGTGTTTCCAGCCACGTCTGTCCCTCATAGGCAGAGCAGCAGCAGCTCTCAGGGGGTCACATCAGGTCAGAGACATTCAAAAATACGTTTTTCATCCCAAAGAGAAATTAAATGTTGTTGTAGCTCATCATCCTGGTTTCATTAAGAGTTGTTACAGATGCTGAAGGGTGTGGGCAGGAAACATCTGCAGCAGTCCGTACCACAGCGGATCTGAAGATACAGGCTGCAGATGCCGATTGGTCCTCCTGGGCAGCAGGACCACCTGAAAGCTGTTCAGAACTCTCTGATGGTCACTCCTCTCAGCAGCTTGTTGAGCTCCTCATCATTGCAGGTGTCTGAGGATGAGCTGGTCTTCTTGTCATGAGCCACGTGTTCTGCCAGCTCCAAGGATCTCAGCAGTCAGTCACTCGAGCACCTCTGCCAGGTCGATGGAGATGCATCCATGGCGCCTCCTTTACAACTCATTTGGGATTTGGGGCTGTATTTGAGGTCATGTTTGAGCTTTGAGATGTTAATCAGCTGCTCCCGGTTATAAAAACCACCTTGTTGTCATGGTTACGCTTCATAACAAATGTCCAAACGTAAAAAGGTTTCAGTAAAAATCCTTCCAGCTGCGCAGCATCCAACACCAGAGGATGTAATCATTCAAAAAAAAAAAACAACTTACATCCAGAAAAAAGAGGAAATAAAGTTTTCAAAAGCAATATCCCAGATTGAAAGTAACAGCTGCTCCAACATGCAGCCATCTTGAGCGGCGCAATTCTAGAACATGGACCAGGAAGATATTTTCCTCCTTTTGTCTGACGGAGTGCACGTATGTGTCGTGTTTTATTGGTAGTTTGGATTGTTGACACCTTCTGACAAAAAAATTAGTAATTTCAGGAATTTGACTAAAGTTTCTTCACGATTCCTTTGATGCCACGTATTTATTTTTAATAGAAAATTACTTTTTTTTTGTCCTAATAATGATGTTAAATGTTCTACTTTGAATGTTCTGATGTCCTGCTGAGCTCTTCTCATCCTAAGCGTCTGTTTTATGAATATTTTATTTGATCATTTTATCAATTAAAGGGCCACATTTCAGTAAATCACTGTAACAAAACATGACCGGTAATCAACAATCAGAGGGGAAAATATGATTTTAGGTCAATAAACAAACATGATGGACGCTTCAGCCTGAACAGCTCTTTATTTAATGCAACACAGATCCATGGTTCAATCAGGTTTATTTATTATAATGAAATAAATCCATCATTGCCAGGATTTTCTTTACCACAAGCAAAACATGGATGTGCAAAGAATGTTGAGGTTAATAAGCTCAGTGAACATGGTGTTTCAGGCAGATGTCGTGTTTTCCTGTAGCTGACACCTTTCACTGCACGTCTCATCAGCGAGGCACTTTCTGAAATCACACTAATTAATTGTTACTAGAATTAGAAAATAGCTGCTAACAGAACATAGTTACATTTAAATCAAATTAAAAAAAGTGGTTGTTATTTAAATAAAGTTAATTCACTCAGTTTTAAATTTGTGTTCCTCTTTTTACATCGCTCCTGAGAACGTTCACTTTTAATGCGCCTCAAGCAATTTTTTTTTATTTTTTTGTTTTTTTTTGTTTGTTTTGTCATTTTTATTCATTTCATATTTAAAACACAAAAACAATTTAGAAACCAAATGAGAAAAAAAAACACGTCATAAAATGAAAGGTAGCAGAAGAAGAAAAAATCTTATCATATCTGCCCCTTGTTTAAAACAAAATCAATTCAAACAATCAATTCAAACAATAATCATCTATAAGTAATATAACAAAAATAATTAACTCATCACAATTTTACGTATTTACATGTATCTTTCCAAAATTTTAATCTTAATCATTTTCTTAAATATAGGCAATGACCTGACTTTTTTTTACATCATTTTCCAAACTATTCCACAGACCTATTCCCTGAATTGAAGTAGACCGCCCCTTTAAACTGGTTTTGTACTGTGGTTTAACAAAAATGTCTGTTCCCTTAAGATTACAGCAACTTTTCCTTTTTACAAAATACGTTTGAATGTTTGAA